TAAAGCCTTGCATTGTCATGGGACTGAATAAAGAAGGCAGTACAAGATACATCACTGTAATCCTTGCTGAAAAGAATTCAAACACAAATCCAATCTGCTTGTTTCTACTGAACGGTGAAAAAGTTAAAAGACATCTCCTGCGTAGGAATTACATAAACATACTCCAACTACGAGTAAAAGCTAGAGGAATTTCAGACGTGTTGACAAGTGATATTTCATTATAGCTTGCAGCTTGTTCACACGAAACCAATTCATGGACAGTCCCGGGCTTAAGAGCAGAAACCGTTAAAAATAGTCGCCATGGACAATGAGGAACGCAGGCCACTAACACAACAGCCAATGGATCCCCTCAACAAAGAAATCCCTGGGCTGCTCCAGGAACAACTGCACCACCACGGCCCTGACATCTTCATTTGACCCAAATCTACAGCCTTTCAGAATTTTCTCAACACGGCCAAATACACAGAAGTCATAAAATGATCAGCCCAGAATGTATTGAGGATGGTCCAACACCTTCCAGTGCACAAAGTACAGCATATTCTGGACAGTGCGGGCCACGTGGGGATGAGAGTCACGTAACACGACACTGCTCATGAGTGCGCTGGGATGTTTTCTCACGATGGCAGTACGAATGTTCTGAACAGTTCCGCAACTACGCTGTGCAATACCAACATGACTGCCATCAGGTCAAGCTAAGCTGAAACTGGGGGAAAAATGAGACATTGGTACTGACAGTCACATTGGTATTATGTATATAGTCAGTTTCTTTTGACACATGTTTTTGAGTGGTGCAATTTCTGCTATTTTTAAATATGCTGTATCATTCCTGAGGAGTTATTAAAACTTAAATTGTGTGATCTGTTGCAGTACATTTTGACTTTGGGTTAAGTTTACTGAATGTGAGGCGCAGTTCTCCGACATGTTTCACGCCCTAGTTACTAGCATCTATGAAATGCGACTGTTCAACTTACTAGACCCCCTTCCTTGCGTCCCAACAACACCCATCCTTGCTTCAGCTATGAGTTTCCGCGCGCGCTCCCGCAACTGCTGCTGTCTTTCCTCTTCACCCTTAGAAAAAACACAAAAAATATTACTCTGCAAACACGCTGCACGAAACAACTGAAAATTTTCAGTATATTCCCATTATCTTGAATTATTATATTGAGCCACATAAAATTTATAACAGACAATAAGTATTTGTCTTTTAACAGTCAATAACCTCTACTAAGATGCTATCAGATTCATTAGGAAGGATTTGAGGTTCGTTGTTTCAACATGGTTGTTTTACGTTTTGTGTTACCAGATGCAACCAATTTCAGGAGCAATGTGTTAGTTCTTAAGGATATAAATCCATACAAACTGGAAATGCAGTTCTTCTTCTTATTAGTTTTGAAGTGACACTGTCAGTCTTCTTGACTTATTTAATAACACCCATTCTACTGCATAAGTTACATAGCCTCAAACAGTAGAGTAACTGGGACTGATGTAAAATTAAATAGCCATGGCCTATTTCAAGAAACTATTCCAGCATTTGCCTGAAGGGACTAGGGAAAAATCACAAAAGCTTCCATCAGGATAGCCAGATTTCTGGCAGAGATTTATACATATCACCAGTGTTCAGAGCTTAAAGACTAAAATGATACATAATTTCTAAATCTAGGCATGATCTGTACAACTTGGGAAGACAAACATTTTACAATATATACATATTTTGCTCTTGCAGGCTTCTTTTTGGAAGGCAAAAGCACAGTTTTTATGAAACGTATTTAATTTCAACTATGCAAATGTGCTCAGCCAGCAGCAGAGAGCATCGTGAGGTTTAAAGGCCACGTCTACCCACAAAAATTCTGCAATACATCTGTAGGGGTACATTCATATATAATCTGCACAGAACAATCGACCACTGTTTCTCCAAATCACACAAAGCAACGTTGCCCTCCAGACAGCAGCAAATACGAGCTAAGCACAGAAGACTGGCAAGGCTAGGCAAGTCGGAGAGACAGAGCGGGGAACTGACGGAATGACATCATGGCAGGCAAAGCCTTGGACAGCAAAGTCTCTTACAAGCAAGAGGTCACATCTGTCGCTACACATGTGACCAGTAGTGATCATGGCATTACGGCATGGTTTTGCATACAATAAAGACAACTCACTCTAATGAAAGTGATGTAGCTAAGTGTTTATAAAAACAATGTATTTGTTCCATGCACAGAAAAAGATAATTGCTAAATGTTACCTTACATGTGATGTCTCTTCACAAGGAATGTTTTACATTTACGTGCTTTAGCTGTATTACTACGGACGCTGATACAGGAGTATAACAACAGCTAATACAGGCCCCATGGTCCACACCCTACCTGCTGGCTCTTACCTTGACCGGTGACTGCGCCGTCAGCTGAAGGTTATTGCCACGGGCAGCGGCTTCTCTCCTTGCCTGTTCCAGCAACTGACGAGCTCGCTCTCTCAGTTCATCATGGCGAGTTAAAATATGCTGGCAAATTGTAAGTTGCACACACCAATTACATATCACACGTGTTAAAATTTACAAACAAAATCAAAAACAAGTCAAATCCAAGACATATGAAGGAAGGAGAAACAGTGTTAAATACTGTATAACAACGTCAGAAAACGGAGGACGCTTGACCGCACATATAAAAATTAGAGTTCCACCTACATTAAAAGGCAGATTGTGTTTTGTGTGATGAATTGTCATTAGTACAACAGTAAAAATTGTCATTGTGTGACAGCCTGTCTGCTGCCTTGTTTGGCAATCTCAAAACTGCTCGTGCTTCTTGAGAATGTGGTGCATTACAGTTCTGACTGACTGGTTAATTGATCCACTGGGGGCTTTTCTGCCATTTAACATGCTGCCAATTCTATCCGCAATACACACAGGAACAGTAAAGGATCAGAGTCATGAAATCATTAACAATGTTTACAAATTTGTGAAGACAGGACAGAAAAAATACTGAAAAATGAACAATTAAAGTACATTGTATAGCTAATGTGAAGGCTGAAATTTAATTGGATGCATCAGCATAGCATTGGATTTATTTATAACATATCACTAATTATGTGAACCCTTTGTTTATAATATGTAAAATGTTATAACACTACGAACTCTACTTGTAATAAGTATCGTATTATTATGATTTATTCCACATCTTCTTGTCATCTGACTAACTTATGGATCCACAGAATGTAATAAATACGTATAGGATTCCTTTATAACAACTTTCCTTGTGCAACGTTACTACAACCATCACTGAGACTAATCTTCCTTAAGTGACTGGACATGGACCACTGGCATTAGAAATGGTAAGTTTATCACTCTTGGCTTTCTAATCACCAAGTTCACCACCCAAAAAACAGTACTTACACATGCATAAGTCACAAATTTCTTGACAATACGTACAAGACTTTGCTTGTGTTAAATACAAATTCTTCCTGTAAGATGTTGTATGATACAGTTTCATTTCTAAATCTGTATTAACTTCTAGGTAGAATTGTCAAGTTGTTAAATCTTAGCCACGGCTTTTTTCAGATGTAAAGATACTGCATAAGATAAACTTCAGTAAACTTGTATTTGCAAATTTGAATTTCAGTGTTAATGCAAGGAAAAACCATTCTAAGTAATAAAATAAAATTAGAAAAAGATTTCCAAATTTATTTATGCAGAAAAGGCATTTTGTACTAACAAGAATTATCCATCAAAAGAATAAATTGAATTAGCCTTCGTGTTAAATTAGTGTAAGAAGATGCACATTCTCACATCATAAAACTCAACTGTGTAGTGTATACATCATAATTAAATTTGTTGCTATATGAAAATCATGAGTTTTAAATGTTTTTTAATATGTTGCAATAAAGTATACGCAGACTACAAGAAGATACCATTATGTAATTTGGCTTACGCTTCTGGTTAAAAAAGGCTGTGGTATTCATATAATATAGTCCCACACACCTCCAGTTTGTATTTATCTTGTATCTGTCAAGGATATACTCTGTGTCTCTCCTTACATCTCCCTTCATTCACGATAACCTTCGTATTTAACTGTGAAAGTAAGTTCTACTTGTTTTGGTTGTATTAATTTTGTTTCACAGGTGTAAAACCGTTTTAAAATTGAGTAATTTGATATTCAATCGCATTTCTGTTCACACCACCTGCACCAGACAGATATTATTCTTACAAATTATGGTTGCAGTATTTATCACATGCACTAAAGTAACCTGCGTCATCAAAATAAAAACTGTAAAATGTGTTGGAACAAATGATTATCATTTGCTGCCATCTATGGAAGACTGATAAAAATACAATGTGGGAAAATAGCATTAATATACAGAGAAAGGGTCATGCAAGTTGTAGACATTTCTGGCCTAAAAATTTGAATCAAAAGTGTCACCTATGCAGATATAAGGATGAACATACACTAATATCTCATCGTGCATCATGCTTCTCAAAGGAATAGCTTATTATAAGCAGACAAACAGCAAACACCAACCATTAATGTGGGCCACCCGGAAGTAACATATTATATTAAAAGTAACACTGAAAGGTTGGAAATCCTACACTAAAAGTAGGAATCCACAAACACACCGAGATTTCTGCACAAACTAATTAAAAGTTGTCATATCTAAATATACGTCAAGATAGAACTGAGCATGAAACATTTTATATATATGATGAAAGACTCCAGGGCTATGAAGTTCAAAAGTGAGACGTGTATGCCTGATTCTTTTAACATTATTAACATGAGAAAATAATTAGCAATTAAGGAAATGACCGCTAAATCAAATTTATTAGTTGATTAATCACGACAGAGTAGCATTAATGGATACAAATGTCACAGAACTGTGTATCATAAGAACTATGTGTTACGTGGACAGACAGCCATCCATTTTATTAGTAACGTATACATTACACATTGCAAAAACTTGCCCTAAAAGAAAATGTGATATGTACAGTACAATTTAAATTATTTACAGACTGAACAGCAACTGTCATGGATGCAATTTATACTGTAAAAGCCTTATTACCGTAACCACTACACATGCACACATGCACAAGTGAGAAGCAGCTCATAAAACTACACACCCTCGACCTTCCAAACAAAGTCTTCAATTTATGTGCTGGGTAAGAAGGTGAGTATAAGGGAACAGTAAACAGTGCAAGCAACCTTTTTGTACAAAGCAATAACTGTGATGTTTCTAAGAAATGTCAGTACCTAAATAATGCAGTGAGAGTTCCATCTCAAGGGTCTGGACGCAACACACTCCTCCAAAACACTGATAACTATCAACAGTGTCTCAACCCAGAAAACGTCAATCAGACGTACGCATAGCAAACATAACAAACGTACTTTAAAGGACAAGTTCTATATGCTTTATCATACAGAATATCTGAAACTGCTACTAGCAGCATCAATTATCTTCCTTACAGTGAGAGATAAAACAGCAAATGACTGCATACGGAATAAAGAAATATGGGGAAAAACAAGATTATTTTTCAGCTGGTCAGCCAAGTGTCTGGGTACACATCTAGAAGATGCTGTAACTTCTAGTTCATCATCAACAACTGCTGTGAGGCTCATCAGATAAAGCTATTCATTATCACTAGGCACCAAGACCAATTAGAGGTTCTACAGATGAGAAGGGGTTTCAAATCTCAGTGGGTGATAGAAAAAATAAACACAGATTATGGTATGGCTTATCTTCCTGTGACATACCATGAAACACGGCTGATTCCTTTCACTGTCACCCATTAAGGTTTGCTGATCCTTCTACCTACAGACAGAGAGGAAGCCATCCACTAAGTACAGTGTGAATTTTTGGTCGAGACATTGTATGATATCTGAAGAAAATTCTCCCACAACAACTCGGTCATTCTGGAAAGAATTTTGTATGTAGCTGTAATTCAGACATTTCTAAGCCCTACCAGCTAATCATGATGCTCAACACATGCCAGACCCTGAATGCGCAAAATTTAATTACACACAGAAAATAATCAGACCTCCTCTGACAAAATTTTGCATTCAAAATTAAAAATGTATTTTGAACTAATTAAATCCTGAAGATAGTGCATTAAAAACTCAAATAAATTGTGATTAAACTTCATTCTATTGACATAAGAAATTTAGAATAAATTCACATAGCTTACAGCATTTAGATAATTTTCTTACTCTGTGCACAAGCAACTCAAAAAAAGAAAGACTTATGCTGAAACACGTATCATACAACATGCTACACTTATTTTAATAAAGAAAACCGGTGACCCGTGTCTTACATGTTGTTGTCGTGCAGGTGAAAGGCCCTGTTGAACACCGTTCATTTCGCATCCTTCTGACCCCTCTCTGCTCATCTTCGTGTCTGAAGAATGAATTGATTCCTGAAATAAAAAAGAGAGAGTGAGTGAGTTTAGCAGAGACATTAAAACATTTCTACAAAGAACACTAAAAACAAACACTAACCTGTGATGACTGAGATCTTGTTAAAGGACAGTTACCACTTTTCCTGTCTTCACTTGCAATCACAGAACTGGAAACAGAACAGAACAGAACAGAGAGTAATTCCTTTGAAGACAAAAACACCTTTTTACATAATCCAAAGCAAAGGTGGGAAAATATTTACAACTGAGGCACTCAAATCATTTTTCCATATACTACAAAGCAGTACTAGGGGCATAACCACAACTAAAAAAGATATACATAAAATTTTTCATTCCTGGTATTACAAAATAAGAGACATGGCCAGGCACCATTTATAGGTTTACTTTGAAAAATGAAAATATTAGATAAGGAGACAAAAGACGTAACGATCATTGTATATGTTTTACAGCATAGCCCTCAAATAGAATGTCTAACTATCCAAATTTTTCTCATAATTATGTTATCATTAAACTTACACTTTTGGAAATGTATAAGGGGTCTAAATAATATTGTTTCAAACTAGAACACTTGTATGCAAATGTACAGAACATAATACATAATATAACACAATAAAGGGTTTACTATAAAAAGGAATGTCACTACATTCATGTCAGTAACATAATTTGCTTACAATAACTCAAATATTTAAAAACAAACATAAGAAGACAACATTTTACAGAAACTAAAGGACTTTAGTAGAAAGTAGTTGATACAAACCTTTCATCTTCATCATCAGAACCAAATGGATCAGTCAACTGGCGTCTTGTCATAAGAACTGGACGCTGGGTTGTTGTGACAGGAGATTTACTCTGAAATCATCAAAAAAAGATGAAAAATATTGACATACGAGGATCTCACAGCAAATCTGTCAACGCTGGTCTTATAAGTTATTAGGTTAGAAGCAGAAGACCAATATCAACATGCAAAATATTGTTCTTTCTTAGTAACAAATTGAATTAACTAGCTAATGAACTACTTGATATTATAACCTAAAAGTTCACCATTATCAATACTGAACTCCACCACTGAGCACAGCCCTAACCAGTTCCACCCACTACCAACCCCCACAAAGTATTTCCCCAATATTCATCTTAATGTTATCCCCATCTCCTTGAAGGTCTTTCAAGAGGCAACATTCCAAGAAGTTTCACCACCAAAATACCTTATCCATCATTCATCTCCTTATCAGAGCCATGTGTCCAAACCAGTGCAACAATCTCAGTCTACCCTAACCTGTACAAATCATGAATCACGCAGAACGATTCATTTAAAATGTAATTCAGCAACAATCATGTGCCAAAGTACAAAAACAAAACCAGAAGCACCAAGGGAGTCCACCCCCATGCAATAAGCTCTCCCAACCACCTCCACAATAGTCAGGTCAAGGTCACCTTCGTTGCCAGGCTCCTGCAAACATGGTATATTAATGAGCAGAATGCGTGCTCATTTTTGAACGTCAATTCACATCAAAATCTTGTGCCGCTGTTCGAGAAACATTTAGCAATGCATACCCTGAGAATGAAGTACCAAGTAAGACAGAAATGCACTGACTACCAACAACTCCGTACAAAACAAATGGAATAAAGAATGTTTTCCGCTTATAAAATAAGATATGTAAGTTTTCAGACAGCCCACTCACTTCACTGAGTCACCTTTATCATCCCTTTATAATCATTTCTTGCAACTCCAAACAAATCAGATTGCACCTCACTACATAATCATACAGCCTTAACACGCTAGTGGGTACCGACTGTGAATCAAAATGAATCTAATTTATAATCTGTAACTCTGTTAATGAGAAGGAATTAGAATCCACTAATGTGATGTTCAGACATGTAGACTGCTATGTGCTAACACAGCCACTTCCATACGGAAGTCTGACAAATCAGAATTCATTTAGTCTGACACTCACTTGTTGTTCTTCTGTACTAATAACACGCTTTGGAAATTAATAGTGCGTCGTTATGGGTGTGGCAACAGCAAATGATCTTGCGTTCTAGCAATATAAAGAAGTGACGCATTCAGAGAATGAGAGCAATGTACAAATATCCAAGTGTTTGATGATACAGTATCATCACATTCATGTGTTTGAATCAATACACAAGTACGCATTTCAAAGAGGGCAGTCGTATCGCGGTAAGTAACGTAGTGACACGATCTGCACAACAAAATGTTAATTTTCACAACTATTATTTTAATACTTCTGGTTAGCCTGCAGAAAAGAACACAGAACAGAAAATAACTTTATGCATTATAACTAACGAACTACACGCAACATGGTCCTTACTGAGAAGCTAATAGCTGCTCAGCAGGTCCAGAAATTTCCCAGTCACTAGAACAAGGCTCATTACACAACTACAGTCATTCTGTAGGATCTGAGGTTTTCACGGCAGTGAGTCTGAAGATTGCCGTCTTCTGAATTATTGTACCATGTAGTCTGGTAGTAAGGACCTCTGAAACGTCGGCAAACATCTACCAGACTACACAGCGCAACAACCCAGAAGACAGCAATCTACAGTCATTCTAAAGCATACCTTCAAAGCAGGGTGGATAGAGAAACCTGAAAAGTACATATTATAAGCGGTAATACGATTATAATCTGAAAGTGCTGTGCTGAAAGAAACATTTGTTACAGACTTACACAGTCTGAGACAGCTGTACTACTCACAAGCTAATATATTTTGCACTGACAATACCACACCGCATCAGCCACATTGCAACCAAAACAAAGTATTCCACTCTCTCAAAGTTGTGTTGGAAAGTTTCCATAAAGATCTACAGCAAAACAAAATGTTCAGAACACCTTGGAAGGGGGAAAAGGAATGACACAGTAAACTGGCAAAGTGAATTTCTCTGTAAAACACCAACCTGAATCATAGTCTAAGTTCCATTTTCCTAAGCATATTTCTGTTAAGCAGATTAAGATTGTATTTCGGACTAACAAATACAAACATATTTAAGACTGAAAAACTGCACAAAAATGTATTATTATTAGAAAAAACATGTAATTCACCAAGTGATTTGTGAATCGGCAATTATAAGAGAAGTCATTTTCTTCTTTAGCTGTCATGAATGTCGGATTCAGACTGTACAAAACATAAACTTTAAAAGGAAAGAAAATTAAAAGGGATGTGGAGTAAATAGCATAAGAGTTGGGAGACAATCAGGAAACAAGGAAATGGACAGGGCCAGAGCTTTAAGAGTTCTAATACAAGTCACTGAATTGACTTAAGTGTTAAGCAGTGAAGAATCGATGTACGTTTCGAAAGTATTTAACTACACATTTAAATTACCGCAGTAATACAACCTAGTGCAAATGCATTTCATATACTTACCAACTCCAAATTTTCTAAAAGCTTTTTAAAATGTCTCCATTCTCCCTTAATCTCACTTCAGTAACTTCCCCTTAAATCTGCGACCCTCAATTCCATCACTTTGCTAAGAGGGAGTCCTTTCAATTTTAATCTGACTTATATTACAACCAATTTCTTCCGTTCCTGCGTGATAATATGTAGAGCAGTTCACAAGTTTGCTCAGTGCCCATTTGCATCTGACGCAGTTTTTGCACCAAAATGCCTACCTTGTCTCTGGCAAACTTCTCTTTGGTAGGTGAGAGCACCTTGCCCAGAATGCTTTTAGAGCTTGCTAATATTTTGTCTTTGACTTCTTTGACTGACGTAGGTGAACGTTCACTGCTGTCCCCAGAGTCAGAATTGCTGACAAGAGGAAGGGGCAGTCTCAATCTCAGACCCGAGTTCTGCCGAGCCACTTTTGGAGTAATGACGCTGTTCTTGCTACTGTCGCTCTCTGTCGTCCCACCCGAGTCAGCAGAACCAGACCTACAGACACACACACGAAACACATTTACCTAAGAAATACTCTTACAGCCAGAATCTGAGCCCAAATGACTCCAATGTACGTCACAAAATGTGTTCATTATTCTTCCAAGCTATGATGATGAACGACTTGCCACATTTGCAACAGGTCCATAACAACTCCGACAATTACACAGCAACATATTCCAACAAAGAAAGAAAGAAAACAGATGTGAACTTTAAAAAACACATACTGAACAACTACTCAGACCAGCTTCTAACAGGTAAACAAAGATTTCCACAAAATAAAACACCGATTATCAAGAAAATGAAAACTCTTAATGACACTATACTCCATAAATGGTCTATTTTCACAAACAGTAATGGCACATTACCTTCTATTGCTTACTGATCCCTTGTTCTGTCTCCTTTCCACTGCTTCTCTCTTACGTAAATTCATGATTTCTTGGCCGAATAACTGCACGGTAACGTCCGTGTCCGTATCAGTATTGAAGCGGCCAATCATATACGAAGATTCGTCCGTTGTCTTGCCGATCTGTTGAACTTCCAGTTCATGACCTTCAAATACATAATATTACAACTCCTTCAGCTCTTTAATGACATACTTAATCGATTTGCAATACAATAACACTCCTGCCCGAAAGGAATACTAGAATCCCAAATATTTAGCCTAATGAGTTGTAGGAGACTACAACTCATTCACCAAAAAACTAAACACGATTAACGTGGTTTACAACTGAGCAAAAGTCATCATCTTTCTATCATTTTTGGCCGATCGATATAAAGTCCTATACTAATCACGCAAATTAATTTATGTGGTCAACTGAATCACACTTCAGAACACGTACATTTGGACATGTTACACTTCTTTTACCACTCTTGTATTTGAGGTGTTTGTCATGTGGTGGTACTGCCTCAAAACATTCTTCTCCATAAATTATGTGACTATCTGAGGTGAAGATATGTTTACCACATACAGTGGGTGTGCTTGAAAGAAAGGATGGATTCATCCACAAGCCTTCGTACTGTTTTACTTACATAGGACAGTCTATTACTGATAATGCATAACTTAATTTATACTTATAAATGAATGTTATGTGTGGCTGCTTTACTTACTTGTCTACTTTTATCTCACCTGTGAAATGAGCCCTCAGTTGATACAAATATGTCATAACAGCCAACTTGTCTGGTACCGTCAAGACGTCCATATCAGCAGGCTCTATTACCCTAGGTATACCTAGAGCTTCTCCAGCATCAAACGCCTTCTTGCAGTTTCCTTTCACTTCATGTGGAGATAGAGAATCAAATTCCCTATATACAAATGACAGAGCCCTTATTAATAGGGGCACACTCACAATTTATTAAAAGAGAATTCTTCTATTACAGTAGTCTAACAGAATTTCTGTCATGCTTCTTGCATACATTTCCTTTTGCATAAACTTCCACAGATTGTTAGTAATACGTGATAAAATTAGACCAGAAGTAAATAAACTGTAAAGCTGTCCCACTTTACACCATATAGGCACTTGGGCGGAGAGGTGGTATAGCTCCTACTCGTTCTTGACCTCAGCACTGGGCGGGGGGAGTCATCAGCATCACGCACTGGCCGCACTTTAACCCCGGGAAAGAACCCCGGAACCCAATGGATAGGAGGCTAGGTGGGCCCTAGAATCGGTCTCGACGCAGAGGCTAGAGGAAAGATCCTCTGCCCCCATCAGGGATCGAACCCCGGTAGTCAAGTCTGTAGCCAGTCACTATACTGACTGAGCTATGCTGACAATGGAAGCAAGGAAGAAAGAAAAGATGAGAAACATAGAAAGTGATATTGAAATGGAAATGGTAGCAATGACTGAAAAGACGGTTCACAGGAGTATGCACGAGCTTTCACGCTCTTTACTTCTTGTGGGGAGGAGGAGACTGCAAATCAGAAGTTAAGAGTTATAAAAGTGACCTCAATCTTATACAGAATTAAACTGACCCAGGTGTGTAAATGTCTACACAAGCTTACACAAGATCTGGCCGGAAGTGATGTATCACTGCGCAGAAAGCCATGCCATTCCTCCAGGAGGTGGTAAGGTTCGTCACCTTGACTCCTTGATACTCGCGAGTGATTTCCTTGCACCACTCCAGCAAATCCTGCCCAGGAGTAGTTTCCTTCACACGTGGTGATCTCTCATCTCCCTGAGAGGGTGGAATACACTGACAGTTCAGAAACCAATAGATAAGACTAAGAAATTCTGATTCCTTTTGTTTTTAAAGTATAACATGTTCTTTTTCTACTCCAGTCAACACTTATGCTAGTAAAAAATACTAAGTTATAACAAATTAAGCAACATTCTTCATAAAACACATTCCATACTTACCTTAGATGTTTTTTCATAGTGCTAAACTAATAAACCCTTTTGCTTTTCATTTGTAATATTGGCTTCTGAGCCATCCACGTACTATGGCAGGAAATATTTGGCTGAACATAAAAAAGGGAATGCAAAAACAGACTTATAATTTAGATACCTGTAACTTACCTGTTGCAAATTAAGAGGTTGTAATGTGAGACGCACATTACGATAATCCTCTTCTTCAGAAGCACTGCAGCAAACACCAAAACAGAATGTATAAGTACAAATAAAATTGTATATAAAATACTGATAAACTGATGTATTAATGCATACTTCTATATAACAGATTAAAGAATGAATAATAATTACACTGATGTTGGTGCTAAACTGTGTGACTTGTCCTCAGGTTGCGTGCCATCCCTACACTCATTTACGACGCCTTGCTTCTCTGCTGGTGACGGCTCCCGAGTTGCTGAGGTGCTAACTGCTTCACCACAACTTCCTACAGTATCTGCATCTGAGAAACTTCTGCCTTCAGTCGCGACTGGTGTAGCTTCGTCCCTCTGGTATGAAGACAGACTAGCAACTGACAAGAATTACCATAATTTAGAAACTTTAAGATTCAATTCATACAATGATAATAAATAGAACAGATCTTAACTCTCTGCGTGTATCATTAAATTCCTGTTATTAGATCAGTTAAATTGCTAGGAAAACTCACATATTTCTGCAGTATAACTATAACAAGTAAGACAACAGGAAAGAAAGAGGTTCTGGAACAGTAAGAGCGGAAGCGATGGTGACGGCGGTAATAAATAACTTACCACTGATAGGGGTACTTGCAATTTCAGAGCCACTCAGGCTGTTTGTTAATAAGTCAATTTGTGTTGTTAAATCTAACACTTCTTGGAGCTTCTGACTACCATCTGGAAAGAAACAAACAGCATTAGACTTTTAACACTATAAGCAGCTAACCAAGAATGAAGTAGCCTGAGGAACAAGTGAACAGAGGAAACATATTTCAAATTTAAGAATGATTAATTTTTGTCCACACAGAAGATTTGTGAAGAAGAATAAGATCACAATTAATTTATCACAACACAGTTATATTTACCTTCCCCATCATCATCATCATCATCAAAATCATCAAGAGGAGCAATATCATTATTATTGACACTCATAAGACTTGCCAAACTTTGCATATCTTCATCTCTGAAAATACAAAAATAAAGTGTAATTACATCATCAGTGAATATACTTGCCCTCTCACACATGTTCTTCAGCTCCAGATTCATCACAGATTCATCTTCTTTGCTACCAAATTTGCATTAACATGGCTGGGCTGAATGAACTATAAGAAATATGGTGGTCTAGCGGCTAGAGCGCTGGCCTTGTAATCCTGGGGTCTCGGGTTTGAATTTATAACTTGTGTTGGGCAAGGCCGTGGTCTAGGCAACACGGAGTTTTCCTCCGTGGCATCCCAACAATTACTCCATTCACACACAGAAGAAGGCAATGGCAAACCACTTCCGGATCATCTGCCAAGAACGTATATATGAGATCTGAGGTTTCAATAGCAGTGAAGTCCCATCCCAGCACAGATGTAGTACATTCCGGAAAGGCCAAGTATGGACCCAACAGCTTAAGCCTCATTACGCTAGTTTCAGAAGATCCAGAACTGGAAGGCAGTTTGCTCTGGGTGTGTACATTGGCCAGAGGAATGGGGAGGAGTGTCAAGTCCTGAGCAATCAAGTGAATGAGATGGCGCTGGAAGCAGTACTTGGATACAAGCCAAGCTGAGAGACAGACAAAGACAGAGGCTCTGGTGATATGCGATGAATAGAACTGTTCCAACACGCGACATTTGAAGAGCAACAGAACTGATATTAAGATAAATAATTAAGTGTAAGTGCAAGTGAATAAATCCAAATTTTACAGAAATCTCATGCAATCACCGATAATCCAGTACAATATCTTTACATATCTCGACGCAGAAGTAATGAAATATATTTGGCTGAATTGAACAAATTTCAATGACATTTCATTACACAAACAACTGAAACCATATAGTGCACACCCAAATTTGAGAATTATTCAAACATAATCTCAAATTTTATTGCACTACCGAGTGAATTACACAGTGCTTCAAATCAGAAGTATTCAATTGACTTGAGTTTCAATATCTGCAACCCCAATTTAACCTTTATTGTCCGTACAACACGTGTCACAGTTTTACATAACTAAACCTCCAGCCCTCAAAGTTGAAGTTCAGCCAGCAGCCCCACTGGGGGAGTTAAAACCCCTATTCTTGTACGATGAACGTCAAAGCAAAAACATTACTCACGTTGCCTTGCCTTCTCTTAACAGGACACAGGACAAAGTACAATCCATTGTAGCCCCAACTATCTTCTTAGTAGTAGGCTTAAAGGTAAGAGTCAGCTGATGTTGCGTTGACTCGACACTAGCATATTTCTGCATGTTTATGTTTGTTGCAGCTACTTGTCTTCTTTTACCATTAAGTGACACCTAAACCAGAACAAATTAAATGTCAATATTATACTAGAGACTGACACATACAAACTATCCTCTCCCACAAAATCGCAACACTGAGAATTTTATAAAATATCAATACACCAGATCTGTGGTTCTCCCAGTGATGATGATGTCAATTACAGTCCTCTGGCTCCATTTCCACCCTGAAAATGGAGGTGATATGTTCCTCTGAAATGCTAATAACCACCTACCAGACCAAATGTTACCACAATCCAAAAGACAAAGTTACCCGAGGTTCATGTATTCACAGCAGTGAAAATATGGCTTCTGATATTCTATAGTATAACGCTACGTAATATTGTAGGTGATTATCAACAATTCAGAGGAACATAATGCTTCCATCTTCTGGGTATAAGACTGAATCTTCAGAGTCAAACTTCTATCTTGAAGATGGAAGCGGCATGCTCTTCGAAAACACGAGTAACCACCTACAAGACTACAAGGTATCACAACCCAGACAACCGCAATCCAATAATCAGCACAGTTCTGCATCAGGGCAAAATTTGGTCTCTCACAGAAAGGGGGAAACGTTGAGCACGTCTGAGAATTGAGTGTTGAGAAGAATATTTTGGCCCAGAAGGGTAGAAGTTACAGAAATCTGGCAAAAAAGTCCATCATAAATTGATATTGTTCATCAAACAGGCAAAACAAGTAGCAAGGATGGGAACAATCGCAAATTCATACAAAATTTGCCAGAAAACGTGAAGGAGGATAATATTATATAATATTAAAATCAATTTTAGGATGGAAGGGTGTAATATACAATCATATGACTCAAGATGGGGACCGATGGCTTATCTTGCAAACCCAGTAATGAACTTTTGGGTTCCATAAAAGGGAGGGAATTTATTGATTAATGGAGCAACTATTAGCGTTCAAGAAGGACTCTGCTCAAATGAGACAGTCAGCTATTTACACTGTTATTAAACAATAATTATTATTTAATAACACAGGCATAAGATCTGTAAATAGCATCAAATTATCAGAGATAAATTTTACATATTGTTATTCATTGGTTCAAAACAAAAATATCTTTCAATCCTGCAGAAACATCTTTTAGTTACATGGTTCTTTGTATCTGAAGTAACTTCCAACCTTCAGAATTTCCTTCGTTTTAGTTTAAGAAATATCACAAAAAAACTAAATCCTTACATCTTCAATAACAAATGTCCACTCTTTGTCTTCCATTGTCTGCGTCCTAGGATCTTTGAATAAAGTGACTGACACCTCTTTGTTCTCTGGCACTGCCCACACCACAACTCCTCTCAAGGGATCTTTCATGGTTGGTTCCCATGGTAATGGCTCTGATGTGGCCCTTCGACTACGTCTAGTCCACACAACACTCAATTTATTAGGCTTCCTATAAGAGAAATTATTTCAACCAATTTAGAATGACGACACAAACAAGACAGTAATTCAATGTATGCTTAAATACTGATGCAATATTGTTCAGTAATTAAATATTAACATTATACTGCATACGGAATGACAGAAAATGAATAAACAAAGAGAGTAATTTTAGTTTGAGGTAGAAGAAAGTCTAATGCTTAACATAAACAAATGTTACAATGTACAAACATCACTACACTTAATTATAATTTAATCATAAATCTTTCCATGAAATATTTTTATGCCTACTACCTACACTATTTAGCTTAAGGATAGGGCCTATTGCCCTAAAACTAGCAACTAAATGATTACCACAAACAGAAATATTCTGAAGTATAAAGACATTTCTTTATTCTCCTACAAAAAGACAACAGGATTTACCATTTTGATGTAGTCTCTAATGTCACCTGATGATAAGAAACTGTAAACTGGAATTTGGCAGCATGCTTATTAACCCTCTGAAGGCGTTTCCACACAGAGGTCATTGTTAAATTATGCCTGACTGTGATTCTTCATGAGGCAGACAGCAAAAGAATGAACCTAAATGTCAAAATACAATCAATGAAAAACAGAAATGCATATATTCTTCAAATTCAAATTATATAATGTAAATATAAGTATGTTCAACATTATCAACCACAATCAAAACTGTTTGTTTCTAACTCAAAACTTGCAAGACCAGCATTATAAACCCTGTCTCACCAGTTTCTACAAATTATTCATTCTTATTAATTTCTATCATAATCCACAAGTCTATATATTCTATCCTTCGAAATGTGAATTAAATTACCTCAGTAGTCGTTTTAACATACGCATTATGTGCCCAATTTGCAAATTGGCACTTCTGCTATTCACAATAATAAGACGTAACCTACTAGCTGGAATTAATGTGCCCAGCTGCATGCATGAGTCAACACTTAATATTAAATGACTAACAAATTCAGTAACTTGTCCTTCCTGAATTAAAGGCCTTCAGAGGACACCCAGTATCACAATTTCAATCACACATTATCCGTTTTCTGCGTACTGATGACACGAGAAACCTTCATACGCTGAATTCAACTGATGCAATAAACAAATTACACCACACAAAATTATACGTCCATCGTTGTTTTTATTAATACTATTTTATTCCTTTTTCTTATGCCAGAAAATAAATGTCCTTGCATTCTGATCAGCCATGGCCCACTCTGAACTGAAAATAGATCAAAGACTGTTCATCAGCTGCCTATGTTGGCCATGCAGTGTTACAAAATGTGCCTGACTGTCTTGGTGTCAAACCCCTCTAGGCATGGATTAATACCAACATCCTTCCAGGATGTCACGATCATATTCAAAGTTGGGTGTGTGTCAGGTCATCTACAGCCATTTTAAGTACATGCCATTTAATCTACAGGAACTTCGTCCTCGTCAACTTGCTTACTGTAAGTTCACGCATAGGTAATTACCACCTACGAGGGATTTTCTTCAGTGCCTACATTGTAACCTAAATCGTTTCACACGTGTATTGGTTTGCACCGGTCCGATGGAAAGTATAAGGGTACAACAGATAACATACTGTTGTCATTGGGATGTCTGAAATACTTGTTTACTGATAGGTGATCCATGTATTGTATAAGACCATATACTGACATACCATAAAACAAATCCTAACCCAATTAGTAATGTAACGTCACATAAAAAGTTGACAGTGGAACCACGGTTCCGGAGAATCTGACGTAAATACGTCTCTGTAATGACATTTAATGAATAATTCTTATATAAGATAAGTACTTGTGATATTCTAAAACGTTTTTACCAGCACAAAATTATCTAGTCTACGACGCACTTCTTCTGCAAGCGATTCACAGCTCAGCTCTTACCGCAATAACGAAAGCGGATTGTTGACGGCAGTAATATAACACAACAATGTCGACTAAACAGGTGACGAAACAATTAGTTTCTTAGCTAACATAACAATGCACGCAGGAGTTCATATAAAAGCTGAACATTGTTGTCGGTCCATATTTACACATTGCTGATATGGATCTTGCACAACTTCGTTACGCTTTTTTGCCGAAAGTCCCGTCCGTATAGACATATTTACGTCAAAAATTGAGTGCATAAAATCCTAACCAAAGTACTAATGCAATAAAAATTAGTGCCATACTAAAAACCGAAATTGAATAATGAAAAAAACACGAACTTAACCAGTACAAGGTAAACAGAACATATAAATGCTGTTAAGCAAATTACCAACTTCCAAGCACTTCCATTATCGTTGACTTTGAACTGGGTTTAATAATTGCTTACCAACGCATTTTCTCTTTTGTTTCAACAAGGCTTTTCTTCTTTGCATCCTGGACAAAGAATCTATAGGTTCATATGATAAGAGAGATGTACTCCAAACAATATGTGCAGATCCTATTAATTGAGAAATCAAAATCTCAGTACATCAGTTTTTGAACAAAGCTATTACTCCTATTATAGTTATGCCTCAGTCATTGTTACGATGTTGTATATTCTTCCTCATGAATGTGTTGATATGGCAGAGAATTTTGGAAAGTACTAAAGTGAGAGGGGGGATCAGACCAGCACAAGGCAAGCTGTTGCTCCATTATGACTGCTCAAAAGCCCAGAACCAACTTGCTTGAAGGCTGATTTCAAACAATGGTAGGAAAACACCATCCATCCTACCACCATATTGTGTGAGATATTGGAAAGGAACAGGAAAATGCAAGGGAGGAAATCACAGGTGAAGCAGGTTGAAGAATTAGAGACAAACAGTGAATAACATACAAAGTAGTAAACCAAACGTTCCATGACACAGCCAAGTTTTACAACCAGTTTAAAGGCAAAGGGAGATTTTATCGGTAAAGATCTGTTTGTAATATCACCAGGTATACTACATCACCTCACTGATGGATTTGGTGTAGCTATACACTGCATGGGCCCTAAAGTCAGAATAGAAATGGGATGTGGAATAAGTTATAAGGACACAAAATATGCAGACAAATACAATTCAAAACACAGGACACAGATGTTACATTATATCCATACATATACAGTAGGCAAGTTACACTATTAGCAACACTAACACACTCAAATCAGTTTATTGTGCCTATTTTCAATCTACAATGAAGTATGGATTAAGCAAATTGTTTTCTGGACATTATCCATTGTCCAAGATTAAATAAAATCAATAAAAACCATGACGTTTTCAAGATGGGAGTCTATCAACAACAAAAAGGATATTAGTGCTTTACAAAATTTATACACATTTATTTTTGCAATGATACGAGCAGACTTACTTTGAAAATGCTCATTAACATACAGAATTCCAATGATGTCAGCACAGCACGCATCTTATACCACTAATGACCTTACAGAATCTATTCTTAAAACTGATCTTTTACTAAGTAAAATTATATATCGCCAATTCCAATTTTTGGTTTTCACCAATCATCATTATGCTTCCTCAAAAAACCACAACGTTTTGGGAGATTGCTCTTCCCCCATCCTCAGTTCAACCTACACAGCTGGGCCCATTAAAACTGCAGACACTGAGGGCTCGATAGCCTATATAATCCAGATGTTCAAAGATAGGCTACTGAGCCCATTGCTCAGTATCCACAGATCGAGATTAGCTCCTTGTAACAGGTCAAATTCTGTAGGTTCACCTGAGGATAGGGGAAGAGTCATCTCCTGAAACATAGTAGTTTTTTGAGGGCCCAAAAAATTGGAATTGGTAATTCAACACCATTGTCAATAGCATTTAGAGATAAATTAAATTATATATATATATGGATGGATAACTGATGAAATGTTGAGACACAAGGATTTCACAGCAGCGAAGATGAAATTTTCAGAGAATGGCATCTGTCTGATCACCGAATACTCTGTAACACTTCACTCCTTCAAGTCTGTGTCAGATTGTTCTTTGATTCTATTATTTATTAGGTTCTGACGTTTCAGCCGGTAGTGCCTGAACCGTGAGCATTTGCTACTGCCTGTAAGCCATTTTGCTGGTTCTGGTTAATTTGCTGTGGCTGGGGGCGCAACAAGGCCCTTCCCTGTAAATGTTTATTCTTAATTCGCTCCAGTTCATTGACTCTGCTCCGTGCGTGCTCCAATCGGTGCCACGCCATCTGGAGAACCTTTTGTGATGCATAACCAGAGCCCTCATGAGGCTGACCTACAGAAATGTAAAAGTGGATTAGAAACAAATACTCACAGAACTGCTATGTATAACTTATGTATTACTATTTGAGATGTGTCAATAAACGGAGGAAATATGGGTAAATCAAAGGTGAATGAAATGGTGAAACACGTGGACTGTCAATACTGTGATGAAAAAAAGGATTAAGGATAGCATGTGGAACACAAGAAGATCATCAAATAAACAAGAAATTTTAGAAGTATTATTTAACAGTATAAACAACAGGATATCAGAAGCAACGGAGACCAAGAAATTGACATCATCAGCTGTCTCCAGCATTACAGACAATGTTCATATCATCTGGCAACCTTGAGAAGTGCAGGTGGGTTTCATGTCTACGACTGTTTATCATAAGACAAAATATATTTTGTGACAAGACTTGGGTTTTTTTGGGGGGGACAGAATCCTTGTACCTCATTACAGTAACTGAATCACCCATGCCCTAAAATGTAAATTTACACACACCTCAACTACTATTTTGGAATTATTTAATTAATAAGCTTCGTCATCTTGTTGCTTTCTCTTCCACAGTGCATGCTGAAGATCGCCACAGAAGTGACAGAATTAGAGTCAGATGCTTAAAGAAATAAAATACATGTCTCAAGTCATCTCACACAGCTGGACCTGCTAAATTCAGTTCCAAAATCCACCCCTTGATAGTCCCTATCAACACAGTTTATTCATACCAGTAGTTTTGTGTTGACAAAATTTTAGTTAGAATCAAAAATGCTACATAAATAATAAGCACAGCTAGAATTTGGAAATAGTTCTTAATTATCAGCTTCACAATTCTTAATGAACCATGGAGCAAGCATGCTGAAGGTAACAGTATGGGCCATACATCGGAGACTGACAGGAGGTGTAATTATCCTGCATTATGATAACCCCCACGTGACACATTTGCACAATTTGGGTTTGAGGTCCTTCCACATTCAGCTCACAGCCAGAACCTCACATTACCCACTTTTGATCTTTTTTGGTCATACTTAGAGGGTGCGAACAATGGTTATAAAACTGTTACAGCTAAGGACAAACATATTTGCATTTTATGACATCAGTAGTACAGAGGTGTCCATTCAAGATCAGAACAATTATATTACAGATAGAATTTTGGAGAGGAGAAATAAATGACATGAACATGTTGAATAAGTGTAGGAAACCCATACCCCAAAGAGAGTTTGGAATTATAGTCTATGAGAAAACAGAGTGCAACACACAAAGTAAAACTGTTAAAGCATTGCATAAACAGAGCGAAACACACGATATGATGTTAAGTATTAACTACTGTCTTTACAGTGGGACGCTTGACACAAGTAACTAAAATTATCAGTAACGTACAAAAATTCAAAATAATAAACGGCCACTAAGCACAAAAGAGAGTTTAAAAAATTTATCTGCAACAGAGTTAACTGTCAGTTACATCATTCATCTCAAACCTGGTATTGCACTTCCCAGTATCTACTTTACACTCATCCAAAACAAAGAAATATGTTACAGTTCTTACCAGTTGAAACTTGTGTTAGATAGTTTATCTGTTCTGTAAGTTTCGATTCAACGTGACCTAAAGTCTTGAGAAACTGATGAGTCTGGCTTTCTGCTTGTTTTAAACTGGACTTCTCTTTGCTTAATTCAATAAGTGCTTGACCTAAAATAAATAATAACAATATCACTTCAGACTTATATTCACTGTGAAATACCAAACATATTCACAATACACTACTCAGTTTGGAACACACAAGGATCACAAAATTTTGTTGAAGCAGTTACACTGGATCCTCCAGTTACTGCAAAATATTACAGTATTCATAAACTCTCCCTTTAGTATATCTTGTACTTATAAAACACTGTCGAATGACTACTCAAAAACCAAATTTAAAACAGAGCTCTATTTTTGGTGGTGCAGAAATTCTGGAATTATGCACATAAAAATGAAAGGACTAATTCAACAATGCAGGTTATAAATGTGTGTTTCTTCACACATGAAATGCAATTTGAAGTAGTCTACATTTTTCCTAATACTGTAAGTTTACAAAGATAATTTATACTGTTTTCTAACTTGTTTAAGCAAAGTTCAGAATCACCTGTGGGAAATCTGTATCCAGCCTGCAAATAAATGTCAATTTCGCTTTACAGTAAAATAAGTTTTGTACTTCATATAAAATCTAATAAACATGCAACAGATATAAAATGTTCTTTTCCATTTGGGGATATATGAACCAGTAAATTTTTAAGATAAATTTGTATCCAATTTTTAATCACTAGTTCTTACTGCACCTACACAACTAACGTAACGTGAGGTGTCATTTGTTAGAACAATTTATCAGATGACAAAAAATCGCAAATCTTTCTCGCGGTTTGCAAATGACGAGCTAAAGAACTAAATTCATTTGAGCTTTGCAGTTGTTTACAGACACAAAAGTTCGAAGGTGTTCTCCTGTAAATTCTTCAATACAACGAACACGGATGGATTTTGATGACTTCAACGAATACTGGTAATACAAGTTCTAGAAGAGACTAGAACTACCACCACAAAGTTGTTTTAATATATCATACCTGCACTCTGCAGGCACGTTATAATGTCTTTTTCGATGGCGTCTAAAATTTGAATTCTCTCCATTGGGGCTGTCATTGTCACAGTATCGTAATAATGTCCTGTATATAACAAGTGAACAATGTTTAGAAGCCTTTCAACTAACTTCAAATAAACAAAATAAGTTAAACTCCTCTTAACAACATTCCTTGACTTGCAATAACGCGATTTGTCACCAATCAAAGATTATTCCACCTTTTAGACAGTTAATAAAATAAAATAATAAAACTTCCGTTAGTTAGAAATGAAGTGCCGTACAGCCACCTATACTTCATTTACAATATTTTTCGTCAAATTGACATACGCAGTTACCCAATCGGTAAGAAAGTTAACTTCTCTTCAACCTCCAACAATTTTTCATTCATTTCCCTGGTAATGATTTACTTTTACTTTTACTGTATCGTAGACGAACTTGTCCCGTCTTCTGGGTAAAAGTAAGTTCATCCATATCAAACCATAAATTCTTTAGTCAGGTCTACTGAGCCATAAAACAGGTTAATATTCATGACTGAGGATTAGTGAGGTCATCAAAAAATAATACTTAAGTGTCAATGGAAAATATGTTTTGATAACAGGTATTTGTATTCCACTTCGCAACTAGTGTCCTTCACTTTCACTTTTGTCTGCTGTTTTGTGCAATTGTGAAATGTGGCCTCTTATTTTGTGATAAGACTGTTATATGTGTTGGGAAGAAAGCGTCCAGTAAAATACCTGGACCCATGAGGGATAGCGTAAGTGGGGAATAGGAGATGCAACATAATAAAAGACTTCACGGTTTATATAGGTCACCCAATTTCAAAGTAGTCTAATTGAGGTAGGTAGAGGGTGCTGTTCATGTACTTGTGGTAAAAGACTAAAAAATGCATACTCAGTAATGGTGAGGCAACCTCTGGGAACGGAGCTAAGTAACTCTGACGGACACATGTGTTTTGAAGGTTAATAAAATGACAATATCAAGGGAAATGGATCCAAGACTGTCAATGACAGCCTAAATCAGAAATTACTTATTTTAAGGATCTAGCCCTCATTTGCTTTTACAGACTGAGAATAAATGGGTAGAAAATAACAAACAAACAAACAAACAAGGATGTAGCTGACCTCCAGAATAAGTATAAAGCCCCAGGCTTCCTGAATTTAAAGCCAAATGCAAGACAACAGAAGTTCACTATAATGCTTATGGTTACTTTCACAGGAATGATCATGAATGACCGATCAGGAGGGCCTGGGAGGAAACCAGTTTTTTAAGCAGTTCATCACCCAGCATCCTGTCCAGCAGATACCAGGTGCTCCTTTTCTGGGGTAAGTGACCAGACAGTGGAAGTGACTGGTCACCCTCAGGCAGCACCGAACTTAATAAAGTGTGGGAGCTTCACCTCCAGTCTCCCTGTCGTCATGGTGTGGTACTTAGCCACAAAGACCACAAATTCTTGTCTCTTTTACCTTTTACATTTAAGTGGTAAATTCTGCAATCACAAGGAGTTGGATCTGCACTTATTACTTACAACTGCTTTGACGTCTTTCTCCATCAATTCGGCTTCGTCCTCTGCCTCATCCATGTAGTCCTCAGCTGATTTCAGCAGCGTCTCAAGAGCACGCAGTTCAGTCGAGGGCTGAGCTTCTTGCTTCTTGTATTTTGATTCTGCATACAAACATAACAGAATAAGTAAAGGGACAGCCAAAATTCATGATCGCATGGTGAAGAATGCATGACACAAGAACAGTGGTTTAGTATGGAAACATTTTAATCACAAAGGAAAATGATACTGATATAAACGTTAATCTTATGGAATTAACAGAGGCCACACCATTCCCATGATTTCTGCTTCTTGATGTCTTGCGCAAAGAAGATGTGGTATCACGTGTTCTCAATTCTCTCTGCTTTCCACTGCTTTCTTTATTTGATTCCAGGCAATACGTACCATTTGCCTGAAAGAAATAAAGTCACACAAAATAGAAAAACACAGTTACCTGATATCATAAGGGACTGGTACTTTTTTCAGGCAAGTTCCCCTTTAATACAGCTAGGGACTACTTACTGGAAAGAAAGAACGTATAAACCCCCTGCGACCACAAGTCAGAAATCCATGTCACATGCGTACACTACATTTATTAAGTAATTCAAATATCTCTAAGCAAGTGGGCCAGTTTAGACATGCCTGGTGTGTGTACACCATACGACCTAGCAGAAAAGCCTCATCTTTGGGTACCCCTTTTTCCAACCTGTGTAACCAAATCTATGTTTTATATTTCTTTTTACGTCCAAGATTACGTCTACAAATGGTAATTAAAACGGATAAGTTTGTCTTAACCTCACTCTGTCATACAAAACACAGCTGATGAACCAGTTGTTCGACAAAACTACATTTTCCCAACAACTTTTGGTGTAGACTGCCAGGCATAAATTTAATCAAAAGTCATTCAGCAGCAGTTTTCAGACAATGAGGAGCAGATATTACCACCCCATGATGCATTCATATTAAACACTCTCTTTAAAGTCTTGCTCCGATAACAAGGTCCCTAGATCAATGGCTCAGCTAAATACTGTGTTTGCCGTACTGGGCAGACAGACAAGTTAATATTTTGTGCGCATTGCACAAAGAAAGCACAGTATTCACAAAGGCAACGAAGGAAATGCGACTGAATCAAGGAAGGCGAGACCATAGCGTGCATAGGGTGCACATGAGGAAATCTTAGAGGGACAAGTCCACTTGCAAGACCTAGGCATAAATGGGAGCATAATATTGAAATGGGTCTTAAAGAAATAGGGTGCGAGGATGTGGACTGGATTTATATGGCTAAGGGCAAGGTTAAATGGCATGCCCTTGTAAACACTGAAATGAACCTTGGGGTTCTTGATTAACTGAGCACGTATCATCTTTTCAAGAATTACTCTACCCTTTAGAGTTAATCATACAAGAAAAGTTACCTTGGACATTCCTCCAACTTTGCCTTGGGTGTGACATTGCCCCGAATGAAACTGGGCACTTATCTGCTTGTCATACTGGACAAATCCCTTCACTTTGCCTTGGGTGTGGCAGTGCCCCGAATGAAACCGGGCACTTGTCTGCTTGTCATACTGGACAAATCCCTTCACTTTGCCATCATTCTGTGGCGAGTACCTCGTTGGAGAGGGCGCACGGCCTAAACAACCACAGAAAGCATTTCAGATCATGGAAGATTTGAGGTTTTCACAGCAGTGAGTATGAAGATTTCTGTCTTCTGCGTTGTTGTGCTGTGAAGTATGGTAGAAGTTTACCAACGTTTCAGAGGTCATACTGCCTCCGTCATCAGGCAGTATGACCTCCGAAACGTTGGTAAACATCTACCATACTACACAGCGCAACAACCCAGAGATCTTCCCATATTAATATACTTACTAAGAATTTGCTGAAACCTTGGAGCACTGGACTTCCCAAACGCCATCCTTCCTCTCAAAGTTCTGTTTGTACACTGCTTAGCAACGACTTGTTAGCTACATCAGATTTTATAACAATGGAATTCGGGATGTTGTTATATATTATTACTCCACAGATACTCTCCCAAACCCGCCTTGACGTAAACAGACTTTGTTTGTTTTGGACATAAATACGTCTATACGGAAGGGTCATTCGGCAAAAAGTGTAACGAAAATGTATAAGATCCGTATCAACAAATCGACAACAATGGTTACCTATGGAACGTCGTGTTTACTCGGCATTGTTGTTACCTAGGAAAACTTGTAAAATCCATATCAACAATGTGTAAATATTGACCGACAACAATGGTCAGCTTGCGTGCATTGTTATGTTACCTAGGAAACGTCATCTGTTTACTCGGCATTGTTGTGTTACATTACTGCCGTCAACAATCCGCTTTCGTAACAAGATGGATGACATTGAAGATAATATTACATTACATTTCATTACTTTACATTACATTTCATTACAGAGACGTAAATATAATTTAAATACAGAGACGTATTTACGTCAAATTCTCCGGAACCGAGGTTCCGCTGTCAATTTTTTTTGTTGTGGTTTGCGGGGGGTGGGGGGGGAGTGGATAACTGTTGCTTTTCACAGTGCTGCCACATTACATCTTCTTTTTCTGCGCCTTATTATAGAAGGAATATAAGAATTGAACATATGCGATGCTAGCGGCATTATTTGAGAACGTAAAATTGATATTAAACAATAATATAATACGGCTCCTATCACAACTTTATTCTACGAGTTTAGCGATATAATAAATTTCGGACTCTTTGGCCAAGAAACACTGGTGTTTTTGGGCTATTTGTTTTTGTTGCGGGAAAGGGTGCTTTTTTAGTTTTGTATTTTGTAACAAAAGTTTAGAAATGTAAGGCATAGTAACATAATCTATTCCTCATAACCGAGGGTGCCAACAGCAAAACACGACATTCCCCTTCACCTGGTTATTATGTTACAGACCAGGACTTGGTGGTATGAGTTATGGGTTATGGACTGGCGCTCAAGCCCAGACGATCGCTGAACAATATTCCAAAGGCAGTTTACGTCGGAATTCTCCAAGTTTTTAGTTATCTATGAATTCACCGTTTAGCATGAAAGGGCCAGCATTAATTTGCCTCACAATGGATGAGTGTTTGTAAGCAGGGGAAATGTAAGGTTAGAACAGTCTTCCAATTAAGTATATTGCTGACTGCAACAAGGAAACGACTTTTAAATGCACTGTTCTCAGAGTATAGTATTACGTATTCCTACAGGTCTTTGTAAAAGTCTAATTATAAAACGACATGGAACACAAAATAGCACTTCAAAGCAACGTTTATCGGCCGATTACTGCTTGAACTTGGTTAGGTATGTTAGTTTACACGTTCATATATAATTCTTTTAGAAGGGGAGTGATGCATCGTTGTATTCACAATATAATGATGGAATGTACTTGCAGTACCGTGACCAGCTGATGGAGGGTATACTGCATTTCATCACATTCTGGGTAACCACAGTTGACAATTTCACCACCATCATAACCTCAGATATTACATAGTTTTGCCATGGCAATAAATGCATTGGAAGACTGAAAAAGAACTATGAGGATAGTATGAATTGGCTATCAGTTAAACATGTTGTGAGGATGTGACTTAGTATCTTGTTCAGTGGTAGCTGAAAATTTCTTTGGAAATCTTTTGAAAATGACTGTTTGGAAGACCAAGACCAAGATGGAGATGACCTTGATCTTGTAGAAATAAGCATTGGTCATGTTTGCTAGATTGTAGTGACAAGATTTGAAGGATTGGTATGCTTTTGTGGTAGCGTTGCTCAGCTTCCAGGTTCTGGTACCAAGAGATTTCAGGTTCTCATAGTGATGAGTATAAAAATTACTATCTTTTTGGAAGTTGCACCTTGTAGTGAGGTAGGTATTGGCTGACATTTCAGAGAATCTTATTGCCCTGATGACTGCTCTTCTGAAATGTCAGTAACTACTGTATTACATGGTGCAACATCCCAGAAGAGTTATCTTAAAGAGCTAAATTAATTGTTTATAACATTCCTGAAAAAACAACTTTTCAGTACAACATGTGGATTGTCATTTTCTGGGTCTGAAGCTTGTGTAGGGGGTTACCACCATTCCTCTGATATGTTAGTAACCACCTATAAGTCAGTATGGCATTGTAGGATTTGAGGTTTACATGGCACAACAACCCAGAAGACAGCCATCTTCAGTATGGCATTTTGACCTAAAAGACTTATGTTCCACATTTTCACTGTCATAAAAATCTCAGATCTCATATGTGTTTCGTGTGCTGTCCATTTTTGTTACAGACAACATGACTATGAAAACTTTCTGTGCACACTGTTGTTACCAAGCCATAGTCGAACATCGGCTTTTGCTATTAGAGCATTTAATATCGAGGTAGCAAAAGTGCAAGATCAAGTTAGTGATCCTCATATTGGGCAAATGAGAATGAAATTTTGGGAGGAAACTGTTGACAAAATATATGTTGATCATGCTCCGAGTCATCCAGTCGCTGTAGAACTTCATCATGTAAGTACTCAAGGAAGTTCTGCCCTAATATACAATTTAATAATTCTGAAGAACAGATATCAGTTTTTAATACTAATAATGTGGTGTTATATATACATTTTCAGGTCATCTCACAATACGTGATGGATGTTATTAAACATACATTTACAGATAATTCTATTTTGGTCCAATATTGGAAACTAAATGTGCTAGTTATTGACACATGTTTGTTCGGCACCTCACACTGAACTCTTGTGCAAGCGCGTAGAAGATATCTTGACATTTTACATTGCAAACTATGACATTTCATTTAAGTTCGTTTAGATGCAGCTGTCAGAAATCCATGCCGGTCATACTTCAAAGTTGTCCTCCTGAGTAGAGATTTGTTTTCAGAAACGAGAAAGGGGCTGGGGCCGTCTGTGGTTACGGATATGATGATAGTTGGACGCAGGTGCTTCTGGGCATGTCTGAAGGATGGCCAAAATAAAATATTGGACAGATGTTCATATTACATAAACACTTAAATTCTTTACAGAAATAAACCACTACTGGCATGTAATGTTGTAAGGGGTTATGAACAAACTAAAAGTCTTCTGTTCTGAATGTATAGTTCTGATTTCTGAGTCTTGTACCCAATCTCGAAGAAACATTTTCATTACAGGCCATCAGAAGACGCAGACTTTCCAAAAGATATTTGAAACGTCTTATTACAGTCAGAGCCGACCACTTAAGATCTGCAGTATTTCCTGACCTGGAGGCAGTGGAATCCTACGCTGAACATTCAGTGTCATCTGTCTATTACCTCTTATTGGAAGCATCTGGTGAGTTAGGGCTATCTGTGTGTGAAATCTTATCTGAATGATAATATCGAGCTGTGATTATTTGTTCATCTTATATTTAAACTGCATCAAGGGACTGGTAGAAAGATCATTTTTAGTGTTTCACTACATAAATGTTATTATTACGTCTGTGTGTTTGTCAGATTCATTTTATAATGCTTCCCTTTCAGTAGCATGCATTTTGATGTGTGTGTTATTTCTCACACAAAATTAACAAAATGCTTCCATTTACTTTAAACATTTTATATGCTGTTTAATCTGCCTGTCACATGTTCAGACATTTTGTTCACATGCCCATTTTTGATTTTGTTTAACAAGGTTAAGTCATGTAGCCATTTTAATTTGGGTCAGTAATATCTTGGACTATGTTCACCTTCTGTGTTTTTAAGCAGAAAACTACATTTTGGAAGTTGTAATTTTAACACCTGAGATTTTCACAGTTTTCTGGGTTGTTGCACCATGTAGTATGTTGATTTCATCAAACCAGAAGATAATCTACATTCATTCTTTGGATATAACAATATCGATTCATTTTGATCCTTATGAAACAATTTTTGGTAATCATAAGCATGTTTGCAATTGTAACTTGCACCTGTGTGATTTGTGGCTCTCATGGTCGTGAAGATGTTGGTATTATTCTCATTTGTGATGTTGTCTTAACTCGCAAGTCGTTACCAGAATTTTGGAGAAATGTGTTGTCTCCTGTCTTTAGCCACCTCTTGAGGGACAACTGACTTTGTAAGCCTTCCTAGTGAGGCCTGATTGTAGCTGTCTCGCCATCAACGGACTCCACCCTTAGCTTTTTAGTTGGGTAGTCCAGGGACATCAGATCCCTGATGAGGGGGCAGATATGTTTCTCAACACAGTTTTTAAACCGAATAATAACAAGCATTTTCACAGCTGTTATATAACATATTTATCTTTACCAATATATTTCATTTGGAACTGAGGGTGGTGGAATTTGCCTTTTAAATGTTGGCAGGTGTGGAGAGCATTCATGCCGATCATGCTGCCAGTCATCTGGGAAAGGCTCACGGCATTGTCAATCTGATCCGATCTGTTCCATTCAATGCCCCAAGGAAGATAGTGTCTCTGCCTCAAGATGTGTTGCTGCAACATAACGTACCACACGAGACAGTGCTACGAGCCAAGTGCACTGCAGACCTGAAGGAAGCTGTTTTTGATGTTGCAGCAAGAGCTAAGCAGCACCTTAACAAGGTAAGTCTTAGAACAGCTAACATTTTTCTATATTCAAGGATGAAGCATTAAATTCTATTTTTTAAGGGAGTAAAAGCCATATCTGTTGGTAAAATTTACTCTTGAAATTTGGACCACCCCTTGTAAGCTGTCCAAGGCTGCTTGTTCAGCATGTTCGTAGTCTTCCTGTGTGGAGGCTGTAATCATCTGCGACCTGAGGACGCGCCAAGCCATGGTGACGAGGGATACGCTTAACAGAAATGGGGAATCTAAACCTGTGTGCAGTGCTGCTACCAGCCAGACGTTAACTCTGGGGTTAACACTCTAGTAACATGTTATTATGACGCATGGCCAGGATGTGACTCACGGCTCTTAAAAGTTAACATGGTTTTTGCATTGTGTTTTTGTGTCTTTACTCTGTTACCACACGTTACAGGACCATACATTAAATGGTCATAGAGTTGGTTCCATGTCAGGAATATTATTGATGGTTGGCAATGAAGAAGTACGTAGTTGCAGTGGTCTTCGATGACACGATGTTCATAGAGTTTCATCGCGTGGCTCAAAAGTTACTAGGGGACACACATAGACGTGGTAACACACTGATCCTGCTTGTCCTCGGATAGGAAAGGAGGCTAGGACTAAGCTGTCAAATTTTATAAAGTGAAGTTCACAAGATTTAACCATTACGTTTGTATCTGTCCAAAGTTAATGATACAGGTACCTCAGTTTTGTTCTGAGTAGGCCATATAACCATACTTAAGAAAAATGAGATGTAGAAACACTGAAGATATTAAACTTTTTTAGTGAAGTTATTAAATATTATTTTGGAGTTTAAGTTTGCCATACTTTCCTTCCTATTTTACTTTATATGCAATAAAATTGATGGAATGGGGCCCTTTTCATAGGCAAAAACATTCTGTAGATTATGAAGTCTCCAGAATATTGAGGCATATTTCAGCATTGTAAAAGAAGAATTAAAAGAGTCATAGAACATTTGTGCCCCAAAAGAATTTTATACACGAAATCATACTGTTTTGTGTAATTTCTTTAATAGGCAAGGTCTTTAAGCAACGCTATACCCAAGTCAGTGTATCCACTTTTCCTGCCAGCTGTAGCTATTGACTCCTACCTGGAGAAACTTCGTCTGAATGGCTTTGATGTTTTCAGTACCGTGTTACAGAAGAGAAATAGTTATCTGCCATTTTTGTTGTTCTGGAATAAACTTTTTTCCAAATACTGATGTCCATATGTGACACTGAACTAGCATATTATATTTAAAGAAATACAGAATAACATTGTGAGTTGAAGTTTAGTGATGCATACAAAGTATAACAGTGTTTATTTAAATCAATAAAATGTTTACACAAAGTGAATACATTATATTTAATGTGACATACAGTAATAGTAGGCATGAAGTCGTCATTGGTACTCATGTCATAAGAGCAGTAGTTACAGAAGGATGGCTTTAATTAATACAGTTTTAGTAGTCTGATGTGATATCTTCACCAACTGAATGACAGATATTATAATTATTCAATAAATCAATAATTATTGATGCTATAGCAGAATTTTAATGAGACGCAGCAAGCAAAGTTTTCACATGTACTTGCTTTCTGTAATGTATCTCAAACGTTTTGTGTTAATTCATTCAAAATAATAAAATGATGCTTAGTACTGTCTTGTTCTTATACCTTCATTTAAATCATGTGCGAGAAACATTTCTTGCACAGACATATTGTTCATTATAATGACATTCCATTTAGAATTTTAAATAGAAGATGGCTATCTTCTGGGTTGTTGCGCCGTGTAGTCTGGTAGAAGTTTACTGACATTTCAGGGGTCCTTGCTGCCTTCATCATCAGGGCAATGATTGCAAGGACCTCTGAAACGTCGGTAAACTTCTACCAGACTACACTGCGCAACAACCCAGAAGATAGCCCTCTTCAGACTCTGCCGTGAAAACCTCAAATTCTACAATTTTACATAGACTGAATCCCAAACAAATCTCTGATTTGGATGAAGGTATTTAATGTGTGTTATTGATTATTATGGTGTTACACTTGTTTTGACATTTTGGTGAAAGTCACTTGAACGGTAAAGTTAAGTTAATTGAAGTCTGAAGCATTATGTGAAGGATTTTTAAATGATTATTCTGGACATTGTAGGATTTAAAATTAATGTAGTGATATTTTATTGTTATTGATTTGGTGATGAAGTGAGTGGGCCACTTAGAGTGTCGCCAAATGAAGTGACAAGCCACCAAGCAGAATCAGGGAAGTTATGATTGGCTGAAAATGTAGTTCAGACAAAGACAAAAATGTCTACAGAATTTTGGAAAACAAAGAAAGAGATGAGAAAATAACATTAAGATGCATCAGTTGATCTGGGAGGTGTTACTTTAAATACTTAATTTCTTCAATTATAGTATTCAGATCACTCCATTATCATCTACTAGTGGAAAGAGCCATTTGAAATTCATTGGGGATAATTTCATGTTCTTTACTTATTTTTTTGTATTTTCAACTTTTACCATCTTTTGTACCTTTATCTCCTTTAGACCTACTTTTAGAAGCTGCCTAATGGCAGTAGCACCATATAACATGGTTGTTGATAACTTTTCCAGTCATGCATAACCCACATGCACAATATTTCATTCAGTTCATGACAGAACAGTTTCTATAATGTATATAGTATTTGACTGGCTGTCCGAGGCTTGCGCAGTTGCCGCGGAGGTTTAGAGTGATCCTGCAGACTGACTTGAGTGACTTCTGCAGACCCAGGACAGCGCCGGTACGCTTGCAGCTTGTTTCGTAACGGAAGTAGAGTAATGACAACATTGGCAGGCATAAGCTCGGCACCCTTCTGACGGGAGCAAGTGATCCCGTACTCGCTCAAACTCTGGCATGTTAGTCCTCAAGAATAAATAGTCTGTGTCTGACAGCCATTGGAAATTATCAAATGTGTACACAGCAAAGTCACACGAGATGCAGTGGAGGTTACTGCAGGACCTAAAAGAAAAGAACATGGCAGGTGACGGTAGTAAGCAGGAAATTTAGGTGAAACTGACTGGCGCCAGAAGTGATGTAAGCATGTGTGTGGCATCATATTTCCAGTAATTCGTAATTTCCTTGTATTCGTCTAAGTTTTAGTTGTTAAATTGTATTTGCAGCAATATGCCTGTGGCTGTTTTGTTTTTGTGGCACTAGGACTTAATTTTCTCTCGTCGCAGACACTAGTGCCATTAGTCTGCCATTAAAGGTACTTGTATCAACTGGTGGGAGTATTTCTGTGGTCCATTGAAATCTTTTGTTAGGCCTGTTAAAAATATCATTAGAACAGCTGTCCAAACATAAAGTTGTTTACCGTGTATCGTGTTACAAGCTGTTTTTGTTCAGGCACTGCTTTGCATTGACAGTGACACTAACCCTGGCAGAAGAAATTCGTAGCATTTTATCTTCAGGTCATACAAAGTAACTGAGACAGAGAGAGTCATCCCGTGGGATCACCTCTTGAGGACATGGTCAGATTTCTTTGTGATAATGATGAAACACGTAAGAGGAATGGAGGTAAATGGCATGCATGGGCAAATTTCCTTTAATATCCCGACCTTGGTGTCCCTATGGCTGAACAGCCACTGGTAGAATCGCTGCCTCCGAGATAGACAGGGAAGCATCTGAGTTTTGCATTCCCAATTTTGTTGTCGCATCTTAAATTTGTTGTAACCACGGGCTTGGAATCAGCGTTATCTTCCACATCCCGGAGAATGTCGTCACAGTCTAAGGAGTCGCATCTACAAGAAGAAAGTCACAAATGCTTCAATTCCTTAGAGATTGTGGCATAAATAGAAAAGGAGTTGAATTTCTTGATTGAATAGTTTAAGCCCTTGTTTTATAATAAGCCCTGAAGTTGTCAGTACTGGTGTTTGATCTTCACAAAGTTTTAATGATATATTTTTAAGATATTTTAGAATTTCATTATTCATTCACAGAGAGGCTAATGCATACTTTCGTCTTCATTTAAGCCCTGAACAACACATTTCTGGCATCTGGGTTACACTGAGCCTACAAAACTGTTTTGCGCAGAGAAGGTACTTGGTTGAGTATGAACAATAAATAACCGAGATTGCACACTTAGCACATTAAGTGGGCCACTGTCACCACAGCATAGCATGTCCACAGGTTGCAGATGAGGGAATGTGGCTGCATATAAGCAGTCGCAGAGTCGGCAAGGGGCGGTGTTCAGGTTGAGGGCTGTGGGGTGAGCTAGCAATCCTGACTACAAGAAGAAAACTGCATGTTACGTAATGTTACAAAGGGTTTCAGACTTTGTAGGCTATTGTGAACATAGTAATGAACTTGTTTTTTGTAATAGGCAGGAAATCTCTTTATATGAGGTGAGTGACTACTAGTTTCTCAAGAACAACTCTGTTCCTTGAAGTTTGATGTACCACAAGCTGTCGTGGACAGTCGTTTTGTTGACAGTCCATTTACGCAACAATTTCTTTATTTTAATCTCATTGTTTATTGTATACACATTGGAAACAGGAAACATTCACATGGATCCTTGCTGTCACGTTACAGTTATTTGTAATAGGTATGTACCTGGAAGCATAGGAAGTTTGACAGAGTAGAAATTTTTTTTCGTCACGTTTAAAAGCACATGCTAAAATGGAAGACAGAATATTATAAGTTGTATGATTATTTTGCAAGAAGTTGGTTAAAATGTTAAACTATTACAATGTTCAACTTGACTGAGTTAAAATCCCTTTGGTTATTAATCTTGAAGGTAGAATGAAAAATTTATTTTTGCTCTGCTAATTGAATTTGTTGTTATTTCGAAGTCAGTCCGTGCAGCCTGGAATTATAAGAGTGAAGTAGATGAGTGTGTCACATCATTATAGGTTTCTTGTACTCTTCCTTGCATTATCATGTTGAAGGGATCCCAGGTGGACTATATCAGAGATGTGTGAAATTATTAGGACAGCTAAAATATACATCTTATGCCAGCAGGATTTTTGGTTTAGTATAATGATGTCAGATGGTGGGATTTATCTGCAAATAGATTATTTGGATGTTAAACCTTTTTTGGACTGTCATAAGCAGCTCTTTAAGTAGAGTGGACTGTTTGGGTGTAATTATCAGTGGAATGCTGTATTTGAACAGAAGGGGTTGGTTGATGTTTGGTGGATCTTGTGAATGGGGGTGGATAGAGAGAAGAGGATTTCAAAACTGGTGGTGTTAATATAGGTTTGTTTGGCTTAAAAGAACAGCTTTTTCATTTTCACCCTGTGTAGTTTCTAGGGCCACCGATAGATGGCAGCACGATCTGGGCAGAACCGTGACGCGCAGAGAGAGAGAGAGATGGATGATCGTGTTCTGCACTTACGTAAAGAATATCGGGAAGAATTTATGGTAGGTGTCTTATTGGAATTTCTTATTCGAAATGCGGAGTGTTACATGAGGAAAAACGAGTTCACCGTGAAAAAGTCAATAGCACAATTGTTAGCCGGAACTTTTTGGTTGCTGTAACAATTCAGTTACTCTTTTAAAAAGGAGAGATATGAATACAGCATGAATTTTAATTGTAATAAGTCAGATGGCTGACATCCGGTGCTTTTACCCTCAAAGCCACGGAAATAATTACATGTTTGTTTTCGTAAATGCGCGTGACCGTGGAGCCGGCTCTTTGCATTAGTTGGTACGGCTAGCAATGCCTTGCTTATACAGGATTACCACTACTACTACTGAATTGTTATAAACCTTGCAGCCATTACCTGAATGATGACTGAGATGAGACAAGACTTGCTGTCAGAAGTTTTATGGGCCTCTCTTCGTAATTTTTGTGTATGAACTTATTTTCTACTTCTTCTAAGAGTTCGTCTATGTCCTCTTCCATAATACACGCATATAGAAAAACAAGTAACGTGAGTGAACAACTTTAAAGAAAATCACTGAAGAATGTTGAATTGCGTATAATGTTGTATGTAAGAACTGCACTGTTTGGTTACTACGAATCACCCACATACACTTCTTAGAGCAGTGTTGCCAACAAGAGGGCGAAGTGTTATTCAGAAGTTTGAACGCGACTAATTAACTGACATTTCACTTCTTGTGTGTGTTTGAGGTTATCACGGCTGGGGATGTGTTGATGTGAAAATGTAGGCAGAATTACAATCCAGAAGGTTAACGTCGACAACAGACGCGTTTCGTTTATGAAATATCGGTGGGATTTTATTACATGTAGTCCGCAACAATGTCAGTAATACTTTGACGTATATCTTGCGTGCCTGTTGAAAAGTATGTATTTCATTGCACGCCTGTTTGTCAGTTTTGTTTTCCTCAAAAATTATGACGGCAAATTTCCGAAGCAGTTTGTATCGTTGCACATGGAACTTCCCGCAGACAGTACTGCGTTTTCGTTCGTTTGATCAATACTACGCGGTTGAAAGTATATTCGACTCAGTTGGGCGACTGTGCAGAAGTGATCTATTTCTAGACACGTAACGTAAATAATAGATTACTTTGGCTGAATAAATGGACAAATCAAAAGTGAATTCATATCACTGGTCGATCGTTCGTCATTGATCTATTTAGACGTTTGGTAGGACTCCTTCGAGGAGTGATCAGCCCGTCGTAACACAGAAAGACGCTAATAAACATCCATGCCTTGAGTGGGATTCGAACCCACGGTCCCATTGTTCAAATGCACATGGCCCACGCCTCAGACCGTGTGGCCACTGTGACCGACATTTGCAGATCCTCTACGACATAAAATTCATTAATGTCATTGCAATGAATTGATAATTATAGGGATATGAAGCTATCGCGTCTTTTGTTTTTAATCCGCGTCGCAGTACACCTGCGCGGCGAGAATCCTGGTGCAGGGCGACTAACATCGAGCAGTGCTGCCAGTGGAGAACATGTTGGGCGGAGCCTGATGGTAGCTTCTGATCCATTTGCTTGTGATGGTTATACACGGGCAGACGAATAATGGCATTATGCATTTTACATTTCAGAAGGAGTAGATCTTATGGGTCAAATGTTTCTCATCTTGCTACTAGAGGTAGTGTAGTGTTGTCGTTCTGAACCCGCAGCCAGTTAATGTGTTTTGTGTGGCCTTCGAATAGGTTTTGTGATATTATGTTGGTCTGCATTCCAGATATTTACCTGACTTCATAAAAGTTGCCATGTTGATTTTGTCAGTACATACCCGCGAGGGACACTGTACGCATACAGGGATGCAACAACTCGAATTGAATCTGACATCGAAACATTACTCAAAGTTGATGTCAGCTATCTCATCAGTGACCAATATATAACAGTAAGACAGTAGCATTTTTAATAATTGCCATGGAATTTCAGTAAGTTACTCTGATTATGGAGAGCAGTCGATAAGCAGGGGTGAATGCGACTTTAGAACTCTGAAAGTCGATTCGTCTTCGTTGTGGTGCTGCTAGGCGATCGAACATTAAAGTCAAGGCACACTGAAATTGCGCCATTTTAGTTTTGTCTGTATTAACAGAAGTCAGACGTGTTTCTTTTATTTTATTGCCTTATATCCTTATATATTTGTTACGCGGTAAGCAATTATTTATTTCCTGTATTTTTATTCATCCTAGAAAAGTGTGTAACAGTGGTTATTCTGAGCTTTACTTAGTTCAAACCAAGGAAAAATCGTATTCTTATTGTTGTGTTATCAGAATATAATTATTGGCAATTGTACGCATAGGCGCGTGACACCTGAACAGAATTACAGCAATTATTGCACATTATTTTAAACATTTGGTAGGACTTCTTTGACGACTGTTTTATATTTATATAGCCAGAAAGGGTCACAATCACAAAAAAAATCTTTATTCAGGACTGTAACTCCCATTTTTAACATTCAGTCTTTGGTCTCTGATGTTATTTCCATGTAGCATTTTTCGTTGCAACTTCCACACAATTTGGGACAAACTGTTGTGCTTAAAAATTGTGTGCGACATGGAAGAACAAAGAATGTGAACTGTTCGTTTATTATTGAGAATATTAAGGTCCGATTCAGTTTACCTCAAAATGTATTTTGTGGTGAGAGCAATGGACACCCTCTGAAGTGTCCACACTCAATGTTAATGCGTGCTCTTGTAGTCCACAAGCCAAACGCAGTGCACAAAGGAATGCTGTTAATATTGCACAGTTTTCATATGAATGTGAGTAGAAATAGACCATGTAAGATTTGAGGTTTTCACAGCTGTGAGTATGAAGATTTCTGTCTTCTGGGTTGTTGCGCTGTGTAGTCTGGTCGATGTTTACCAACGTTTCGGAGGTCATACTGCCTCCGTCATCAGGGCGATCTACACAGCGCAACAACCCAGAAGACAGAAACCTTCAGAAATAGACGTGGGACTAACACGACAGGTACTGTATCTCGAGCGGTATCAGAATGAAGTTTGTCTCTGAACTGAGTTCTGGTTTAAAAATCTGCACCAACATGAATGCACGTGCCGTATTGATTCTGAAACGCCACATCGTCAAGGTCGTATTCCGTCTTCCTTCACAGTGATCAATGCGTGGGCAGTGCTGTAGTTGGTCAGTTTGTCGGAGATGCGCGCGTGCGCGTTAGTGTTGGGGCTGTGGCTGTGGTGCCTCTCGCAGAAGTCTGCGATCCTCTGACAGGCTTCTCGTAACTGTTCTTCCGGGACTGTCAGCACCAGGCGTATGTAATTGGGGTAGTCGAAGCACTGCAATTATCAAGAAACACCGCGCTTTGAGGTTAGGTTGAACCATTCTTTCTGCAGGCTGTCGGTTGAGAGGAGAACATAACTCACGTAGTAATTGTTTTATTTTCTGTTTTTAAACAATTTTACTTTCAGGAGTGACTGCAATTTTATTCAAATTCTTTTTCTTATTTGCATAATTAACACTACCTGAAAAAAGTCCTCGACTTGATTAAATGTTTTAATAAGCTTACTTCACTTAGGTTCAAATCATAACTTCTCAAGCCCTTTGCTTGGAGCCAGATACTAGTTCTGCACCCAGCAAATGTTAATAACACCTGTCGCGGCATGTAACCCGAGAGTCTTTAATCAACTTCAGTTACCACGAAAGCTTCGCTTTATACGTATTAATAACATTATAAAAACTCATCATATTTTAATTGTCTAAGTCCAGATTAGTAAATACCTTGCTCGGAAGACAGAAAACTGACTCCTCGGTGACCATTTGCTCGACGAAGTGCAGTTCCGACTGGAACTCGGGAAACTGGGCCATGTTTACGCATACCTGCAGAAAGGAAAAGTGCATTTAAAGATGCAGTGTGTTTGCATTAAACTATTTCTAAACCATTTTGCATCTTATGAACCAGGAAGTGCAGTAACTGGTCAGACATATATTTTTGTAAATATTTCTTGTTCTGCCATGTGATGACGTTTGTAATTAACTAACTGGCATCAGCATTAGAACGAAACAGCAGCGCATCGCTCGCTGCGTCGTGTTTTGAACTGTTCATTGTCACATTACATTGACGCCCAAACTTACCATCATGTACATCGCTCCGCTGGGCATTACTGGAGTTAATCCTTTTACCATGCTCAGCATTTCATATGCAATCTTCGCATGACACTGTAAAGAAATCCATTATTTTAGTACTGTAATATTTTTATCCCTTCTTACTCGTTGGTACGACTGCTTGTACGTCGTAGAGTGCAGCTCGCTCGGTCCCATGCCCGGTGGTCGTGCGGATAAAGCAGCTGGCTGTAATTGACCACGCGGCTTCATTTGGCATTTTAGTTGAAGTGCGCGGAGCTCTGCGCACGTATCACTGTTTATCCTTAGTGGAAGAAAGTGCACAACCTAACTTGAGTCTGTAAATATTGTGTCTGATTTTGACAAAATGGCGGAATCAAAAATTATGTTAACGTAATCTGAAATTGATTTCTAATTTCGTGGACTCTGCACCTTATCAACGTGTGGATTCGTATCAACAGACCTGTAATGTGTTGACTGTGTCCTCGAAGAACTTCTGTGGAGTCCTTGTTAAGATGCCAGCTAGAGCTCCTTGGATCAGCGTATTACTACCGATTATCCTCTGACTCAAACGCTGGAGTCCAACGCGTACCTTAAAAATGAAATAATTAATTATATGAAAATTATAAGCGGACACTGTCCACTCTCTGAGATATATATGATGTACACATTGTTTCGAGAGTTAGCAAAACTTCCATCTTCGTCTTCCTTATCAGATATTATTTTACAGTGGCAAAATAATTCCATGATTTTTATAGAAACGTTAAGAAGATACTTTTTGAACACACGAATATTTTTTCAGAACCCAGTCAATGGAAAGTCTTACTTTTAAAATATAAAACTTGTCCTACTCCAGCCCCTGCAAACTTTACTTACTCCTGATTCCTCGAAGATCCCGTGTCTGTCGTGTATAATGATCCAGCCCATTCTCCATCCAGGAACCAAGAACCTGTGAAGTCATAAGAAATTTTCACGAAAGAATTCAAGTGAAACGTAACTTGTTTTTTGTATTCGACTAGTAACTTAGATGACTTAAATTTATAGTAGATATTATTTTTCAGACCCTCCCGAATAAACTTACACAGCAGAGAAGCTAGCAGTCACTCAGCTGGTCAAGCTGTTTCCTGCATTTCATGGAACTGACAGGACCAATACGTTGCCCCCAAGAGTCATCACCTGTCCCTAATCCTGGGTCATTTGAAGAAGCTCACACCATCTCACCCTTTTTCTTCAAGATACATTTCAACAATAACCTCCCATCTATGCCTTGAGGTTTTACAGTCAAAATTGTGCGTGTATTTCATATTTCTTTCATGTGTGAGATTTGTTTGTTTTGATTAAAGCTTAATACAAAACGAATTTCAATAAATCTCACGAAAACTCTGTATGGATTATAATGGCGATACATTACAGCACAGAATATTGGCAACTGAGCTTCGCACCTTTTCGTAAGACCGCTGCAGGACAGAATTGGCACATCCTCGGAAACTGATGCCAAGGAATGGAATGTCTGCCCGGGGAACACCTGAAGACAAGTGAAATTTGAACAGTTAATGCAGTCTCCTTTAACTACGTAGTTGTGATTTTGGCTTGCGTCGTTATGGCGGTGGGGCAGCCAAGCAAGAAGGGGGCTGCTCACCATGTGCTCGTAAATCTCGTCTGCGATGATTGGCACGAACTTTGCCTGCGCCACTCTCAGGATCTCTTGCAGGTGCTGACGGCTGTACACGGAGCCGCAGGGGTTTGACGGGTTGTTCACCACCAGCGCCGCGGTGGAGGCGTCTATCTGCTCCTCCAGATGTGCTGTATCGACCTCCCAGCCGCACTCTGGCTGCAGAATAATTTATCACCACTTGGATATTCGTAGTTTTTGTATCATTCGACCTGTATTGCATTTACATTATCATAACGTGCTGTTTTAACTCTTATTCATATATTTTGATGTGAACTACTCATGGATGTTCATGATTACCCCAGTACAATTTATGTTTTGTGAACGTAACAGCCGACTGGCTCTTAGTGAAAATTCTACGTAACAAACGTTCATGTTTTTTTTGTTTCCCCCCCCCCCCCAGAATGTGATTGCCAACTGCTTACGAGTCATGATTTTCTTTTCTAACTTATACCCAAAGGTGCTAGAAACACACCCTTAAATTGTAGAATTTGACCTGAATCCCAAGACCTTCTGCGAGAGTCCTGTATATTGAGAAGCCCGGTCTCGGAACCAGAATATTCTGCCCCGCGTTGGCGAGTACGGTGATGCAGAGGTCCAGGGCACAGGAACAGCCACTGCACAGCACCACGTCCTGCCAACATAACTTGTTTGTTACCAGCAGTCCACTTTTCATTTCGTCGGCTAGGCCATGAAAAGGCAGTGAAGCATAGGGAAATATTGTTTCCATCATTTGGTACAAGAACAATATCCAGTAATAACACTCGTACAATAGAATAACATTTTTGGAGCAAAAACTAGTATTTCTAGTGACAAGAGTTTCGAGTTGGATAATTTCATTAACTTACGTCTGATCACAGATGAACAACAAAGAATTGAGTGTAACTGGAATAATTATAACAAATCTTTGTATTTATTATTTTAGTTTCATAATTTATTTAAAATAGCAGACTTATGTGATCACGCGCACGTGTGTGTTTGTATCCCATGTTCACATTCTGAACCAACGTCACAAAACTTTGTATGAATGTAATCCCGTTATTAAAGTTAGGTGTGGCGACTTCTTTGAGAAATATGCAACTTTTTTTAAGGTTATTATTTTGTATAACGATAACATGGTGACCCTACAAACATTTTCTTTGCCTTACGGTTTGGCGGTAATAACTGACGAACCATCGGAGCTAGGCGACCAAGCGAACATTTGAGGTTATATCTGACACATTTAATGTGGAAGTCCTTTTTGTTACGACTATTAACAGGAATTAAGATTTTTATTTGCAGCAAGGTCATAAGGCCATTATTGTATTTACTTAAATAACAATAATTACTATTATGTTAATAAGCTTTATTATTTATCCAAAGTGTGTCTGCGGGATGTATTCAAAGACTTCAAAGCTAAATATTTTAGGAATACTGGAAACTGTAAATTGCGGAGTTATCATCAATTGTAAGATAAACACAGTTTCGTGTGTTAACAGCACAAACCTGAGGATTCACTGTCACTCCTTCTGAAGAATACTGGGCCACTGCGTCTCGTGCCTCTTGGTATCCTGCAACAGCGACAAATACAACAATCCTACAAATGGGTCAGTGTTTAGTGGGAATCTAATATCAACCCTGTTTTATTCATTTTAAGTTCCCAGAGATTAGAAAGACGTCATTCTCTGTATCGATGGTGAAATGGCTACCTGCTAATTCTGTTGCGGAGGATGTATGTACCTGTACTGGGTGCATATCCGTTGTACCTGAATGACGTGAGGCACTCCTGCACGGCGTCGATCACTTCCACAGGCGGCTTCAAGTTGCCGAAAACGGTGGGGTCACCTGTAAAGACACGTAGGTCATTTTTAATTTTAAAAATACAGAACGAACGGCAATGAAGCTCACAACAAGTTTCATTCTCATCTATTTTGCGGTTGTCGAATTGAACCCAGCTGATTGGATGTTCGCGAAGAACATCCAAAAACCGGCAAACTTTCCTTCCCTTGCAGAATATGAAGTAGCACATTGTGTGTCGACGAACGAGCTAGAGTGGCTGTCGGATGTTATTCCAAGGCCAAGACCCTGAGAGGACGCCATCCTGCTGGTTGCGCAGACTCACTGCCTCCCAGAACTACGCTCCGTGGCCACTGAGAGCTCAGAGGGGGTGAGAGGGCATGGAGATGAGAACTGCGTTCAAAATTTCTGTTGGAAAGGCTGAAGGGAACAGACTACTCGGAAGACCTAGGCGTAGATGGGAAGATAATATTAAAGTAGAAATCAGGGAAATCGGATTTGAGACGTGGACTGAATTTGTCTGCGGTCCCGTCTTCAGGTGACTGTATTAATCTTCCAGTTGTTCGGCCGAACCAATGGCGTCTCCCCTCGACATCGCAACGCCCAGCCCTGCGGGGCCTTCCACAGTAAGTGCGGAATCAGCGCCTGCCAGGTGGAGCTCCACCGTTCGTGACATTGAGACCCGGTCGCCATGACGACATCTGCGTTTCGAAAACTGGTTTTGCTGGTTTCAGAGGACGTAATCATGTGCGCGATGTTTACTGTTGGCTGTCGACTGCCACGAGAACTCTAAATCGCAAATAACAGATTTCTCCTTGACGTAGTTTTGCAATTAAAGATCAGATCGTCATTGCAGAAGGAGAAAAAGTCAGTTAAAATTCCAGCAAGAACTCGCCTCGAAATGTTCAAGTTTTCTTTGTGAGCGCAAATTCGTTTTTCGGAATCCTCTTAGCTTGTTTCTTAGTGGTTTTTTTTTTAATCTGACGAGCTCTGAAAGTATGCAAAACCATCAGTTTCCTACAATCGAAAGTTTGAATTTAAAAGCACGTACTATGAAGTGGAAGGGGGTGTATTTATTTTAGCCAATTTCATGTTTTATAGCCTCGTGACATGTCATGGAGCGTATCTGTTCAAAACGATCAGAATATGCGACTGGAAAACATATTTAATTAATTCTTTTCTTCGCTCTGTAAAAGTCTGCAGACTGTGGAAGAAATATGATAATTATTTGCATGTTCTAACGCGCGCTCAGTCAGCCACGAGAAATGTTAGACACGAAATACACCCATGTAACGCCTTACAGGCGAAATTCTGTGGTGTAAAGGGACTACGATTAATAAAGGACATGTGCACTGGCCTGCGTGCGCCTTACGGTTTTTAACCAAAGAGTTTTCAAGTTTTTAGAAGGCCTGGTGCGTGGCCTTGGAACTGCGGGATCGTAGTCCAGTCATATCAGCGGAAGGTGACCCAACGCGAGATCGCCTTTGTATCAGTGGCGCTTGTGTATGGCTCTCGAGTGAAGCGGTTGGCCACAGGCAGCTTCGAGCACTCGCCTGAGGTAGATGAGTAAAGCCAAGCAACTCCTCAGTCAGGATATCCATTGTGGAACCTAACCTAACCTCCAAATGTCTTCTGCGCCGCGAAGTTCCGTCGTCAGATAACACAGAAATCTGCATATGCGAAGAGGAGTTCAGAGTTGCGCTGCTTCGCCCCAATTTTCTTACCGATAAACGTCAACGCAATGTTTTGCATTGAATTCTGCCTTTCTTTTCAATTGTTTAACCTTCTCGTCAGAAAGCCATTGTTGAGAGGTTTCAGGCAGCTCGAACGGCCTTCTTTTCGTGTTTCTTTATTACAAACCGTCACACCCACAGCCTTGCAAAGGGCCATTCCGCAAGAGAGCGTAAGATCCGTATCAACAATGGGCAGCTTTTATACGAACTCCTGCGTGCATAACAATGCAATCAACAAATCAAGGAACTTCGTCGTCACTGATTGGTGTATTATTCTGTGACGAGCTGAGGTCAGAAACAATTTTTATATAATATCAATTTAACGCACGCACTAACATGTAAACGAGGTTGAACTGAAATAAAGTGCGTAAGGCAATTTCGT